CGGACCGTCAACGACGTTAATTTCTTCCGTTAAGTGACATGTATCATAATTTAGTGATTTTAAAATTTATTTTTTAAAAAATATTATCATATTTATAAAAGAAAAATAATCTTTTAAATTATAAAAAGCCTCAAATCCCTAAAATTCTTAAATCTTAACCTCAACCCCTGCCGCTGTCGTCGTCATTTCCGGCCATGACCACCGTCACCGACATAGTCCCTATCATCCTCCTAATCATACGTTGTCGTAGTTGCAGTCGATTGGCCTTCAGAATCTCATAGAATCAAAAATTTCATCTTAGAGTTTGCGTGGAATAAAACGTCGATTCATTGTTGATCGATCAAGATTTTATGAGTGTTTTGGTCACTGGGAAAGGTGAGGTCAAGTGGAAGTTTGTCCACGGTCTTAACTTTTCCGTTAAGTGACACGTGTCACAATATGATAATTTAAAAAAAATAAGATTATATAGGAGTATTTAAAATGAATGTTTTCAAAGTTTTGGAGTTATTTTAAAATTTTTACGTTCTTTTTAAGTACTCTTATATAATCTTAATTTTTTAATTTTAAATAAAAATTTTAAATTATCATATTGTGACACATGTCACTTAACGGAAAAGTTAAGATCGTTGACGACTCGAACACCTAAACTGGTAAAATTTATATCTTTAAAAACCGAGATGAGTTAAAAAAAATACTTAAACACCTATTTGTGAAAAGAAGTATAGTTTGAGTACTTATTTGTAATTTAAGCCAAAAAAGAAAAAGCAAAAAAGGTAAATTATACTATTTCTCACCGAACTATACTCTTTCTCCTATTTTCCTCACATAACTTTCAAATTTTCTATTTTGCTCACTGAACTTGCATATTGAATCATTTTGCTCACCCGTGTTCTCTCTGACGACCGAATGATGTGGTATTTTTTTATTTTTTAATATAAAAAATTGATAAAATAACAAAAAACCAGAAGGTGATCATATGTCACCGCCGACCATTATCGGTCCGTCGTTGATGGTGGTCGTTCAGTCCCAAATTTCATGTGTCACTTAGCCTGGACATCGTAATTTCAAATTCGGCCTCCAATTTGTTGGAAGTTGCTCAGAAGTCCATGAATTTGAGATTGAAAGTGAGGAAGTCAAAATGTTTCAGTCGAGATTCACGATTTTAAGATATTTTCCGGTGAAATAACTACCATATTTGGACTTATAGGGTCGAGATGAATCAACCCATGAATTTTGGGAGCGAACTGCCACCGTCAACGATGGTAGACGATGACAGGAATGAAAATGACAGGGTATCTGGCGGAGAGAAAATGAAGAAGAAAAGAAAAAATGGTAAATTACATAATTCCTTACTGAAATTTACTCATCTCTAATTTTACTCACCGAACTTTTAATATAGGATTCGAAACGACGTCTTTTTAGTGTATATTTCAAAATGATGTCTTCTTGATGCTTGTGCCATGTCATAATGTCGTTAGATAGTTAACGGTAGAGTAAACAAAATTATTCAACGTGTAAAGTTTAGTGAGCAAAATAGAAAAGTTAAAACTTGGATAAAGAAAATAGATGATAAATATAGTTCGGGTGTAATTTACCCCAGCAAAAAATGTACTATAAAAATATATCAATATCTTTTCATAAGAAACCCAGCACGGAGGCGATTTTATCCTTGAAAGAGACTAAAACTTCTTTTAAAGGTAAGCTTCCTGCTCATCGAATCCTAATCGTATATCTCTGATTCTCCTTTTTTTTTCTTTTCATTATTTTCGAAGATTGTTTATGGAGAAATTTGTTTATGTTTTCCTGGGAAATGATTTGATGTAAGCGTGTTTTTGTTTCCAGATCTGCATTTGCATGTATGATTTTTTTTTGTTTTAGAATGTTTAATTTTCGAATTTTGATTTACCAGATTTACTTTACCGAGCTGTAGATCGACTGAAAGTATCTTGATCTCTTAGCTTAGCTGATTTTTGAATCGATCTTTTTTAATATTATCATGACATTGTTTTTTATAGAAGATTTGAAATCACGTTTTCAGATCGGATTGATTGAATTGATTTGCAGCCTTTATGGTAATTTATGTTGGATGCTGACTTTAATCTTTAGATCTGATTGACTGATAGGTCTACTATACAGAACTGTCTCTTTACAAAATCATTTGACATTAAAAAATTTCTGCAAAACATCGGCTCTTTTCTTCAATTCGCGTTTATTGCATGTTTCTCTCTGTGACGGAATTGGATGGAAGAGTTAGAGATTGATAAAAACTCAAATAGTAATTAAGGAATGATTCATTATATGTCCGTGTTCTAATTATTTGCTGAATTTAGGTAAAATGTTTCAAATTTTTCTTGATTTTGACAACGAATGATATGTGTAGTTGTTATCTCCTTATTAATGATAGTATCTGTTCATCCATGTGTCTTAAATGCATTATATACTTTTGCAAGTTCCTTAACTGACAAACGATTGCTGAATTTGTGTTGTTCTTCAGTTCCAA